CTTGCCATACTGCCACATTGTTATTTAAAAAAAAAAAAAAAAAAAGACACACACAAAAACATGGAAATAAACCTCCCCCAAAAGGGGGAGGTTTCAGGTTCCCTGCCCCACCCAAAAGGAGGGTGGAGTTGAGCAGGAAACCTGGAACCTCCCTTTTTCCTGGGACTGATAGACCCTGCTTATGAATTGGAAGAATTAACACTGTTAAAATCTTACTCAAAGCAATATGCAGAGTCAATGCAATCCCTGTCAAGCTGTCAGCAGGTTTCTTCAAGGAAATAAATAAACGTTATTGAAATTTATATGAAGCCACAAAAACCCTGAATAGATAAGCAATCTTGTTGAAAAAGGATCAGTGGTTTCTCATCCCTAGATTTACATTATACTGCATAGTACAGTATGTATGTTAGTATGCATAGCATATTTTACATAGTATAGTAAAGTAATCAAAAAGTATGGTACTGGAACAAAAACAGACACACAAACCAACAGAATAGAACTGAGAGTTCAGAAATAAACCCACACTTATATGGCCAGTTAAACTATAACAAACATGACAAGAATCTTGTATATATTGGTGAAAGGAAATCTGTTCAATAAATGGAGATGGAAAAACTGGACAGATACATGCAAAAGAGTGAAACTAGATATTCTTACACTTTAGAAATATTAGCTCAAAATGGATTAAAGACTTGGATGTAAAACCTGAAGCCATAAAATACAAAGAAGAAAACATGCAAAATTCTCCATGACATTGGCTTCAGTGATGTTTTTGTGGATTTAGTGGCAAGACTATATTCACCTTGTGAATATAAATGAGATTATATCTAATGAAAAACCTTCTGCACAGTGGAAAAATTATCATCAAAACAAAAGAGCACCCTAGTGAATGGGCAAAAGAGTTGCATATTATATATCTGAGGAGAGGGAGCTGAGATCCTAGGTCTATAAAGAACTCAACAAAAAGAAAACCAGAACTCAATAAAAAATTGACAGAAGTCTTAAATAGACACTTCTCTCAAGTAGACAAAATATAGGGGGAGCCCAATGGACTATGGTAGAAGACTATGGATGTCTTGATAATGGGTGTGGTATGCTGACATGATCTCAGGAGGTGAGATCCTATACCTCAATATCACATGGAGTGTTGTAAGCCAAGGTTATATATGGCAAAAAATTCCCAAAAAAACAAAAGGAAGGAAATCTAAATGTGACTCCTTTTATGACATTATTATATCCCCTAGTTGCATTTGCTTTATTTTCTGACTCTTATAACAACTCTATGAAGTAGACAGGAAAAATATTACAAATCCCAGTTTACTACTGGGATAATAATATTGTTCAGCAGTGGTTGAAAGAGTCTTAATTGCCAGCAAGCTGTTGCTTTGGATTCATTCTCTCTAGTCTATTCATCCCTGTTCCACTCCCCACTCTTTTTAGACTAAGCAATCAATGAAGCTTAAAAGAAGCTTAATAGAGTTTAAGTAAGATGCCCAGAAATGCAGGTTATTAAACAACAGAATCAGGATACATCACAGGCTGTGACTCCAGGATTCACCATCGTGGACAGAAAAGGCAGCTGAACACAGCAAATGAAGATGTTGGACCTAGTTCTGGTCAGGGAATCTTTAATAATATCCAAATATTTAATAGATGCCCAAAGGTGAATCTAATTTGCAGAGAGTTTGAAGATGAGAAGACTCATCTTTAAATAACTACAAAATATTATCCCATTATAAGAGACACAATTAAAATAATTTGGGGACAGGACAATGCTTTGTGTTATTTCCTTTACATGCAATGCTTAATATTTAAGTTAAGGACACCTAGAAGCAGCAGGAAAACATAACCAAATTTCATCCATACAATGTATGTCCAAGGGCATCTGCCTACTGGGTCAGTTAGTAATTTCATTGCTGTAGAGAAGAAGAAAAGTGATCAAGTCACTCAAGAGCTAAAAGGGACCCTGAAAATTTGCTGGTGGCTTGACTGCCGACCCAGTGAGATCCAATGAGTTCCCAGACCTCCATAAAAATCTTTTGTGCTAAAAAACCTTTCAACCATTAGAAATCAGTCTGTTCTTTTCCTTCCCTTTCCACTCACTTTCTCTTGTTATGTCTCTAGAGATCTTCTTCCTCTCTTTCCTTCATCAATCAGTCTTAGAAACGTTGGTGAGGAAAAAAAGACATGATCATCCTATTTCAGTGGGAGGACGAACCCACCTTTCCAATAGATAAAACACACTGAAACCAAAGACAAGATTCTTCTTTGCCCCGCCAAGATCCCAAGGCATGTGTGTGTGTGTGTCAGAGGGTGTGTGTGTGTGTTGGGGGGGTGGGTAACGTCGTGGGGGAGGGAGTTTTTAGGGAAGGGGAAGGAACACTGGCTTCCTGGGGCCGCGGGTTCCGCATAGAACTGGCCTTTCCAGCCAGCACCAGCCGCGCCGCGCTCTTTGGGACGACGCAGTCTCCTAGCGACCCAAGCGTCGGGAACACTCTTCCCCCAAGTCCGCAGTCGCTGGAGAGGCAGCGGCAGTATGGCTGGCGACAAGCAGCCGTTCCCTCCCGGGACTCAGGCCCAGGTGCCTAGGGGCAAGGACTGCCGGCCCTGGTAAGCGCGCCATGTCGGGGTGAGGGTGCGTCCCGCGCGTGCGGCACCCCTCGAGTGCCGCGCGAGGGCGCCGGACCCCCGCGACTGCTGGGGCCAGAGGCTGGGACTGGGCTGGGACTGGGGCGGCTGACTGCAGCGGAAGGGCTCAGAGGCTTTCTCCTGAGGGAAGGAGGCACCTATAAGGTAAAAACACAAAATAGCCCTCCATGCTCCTCATGGCCAGGCAGCAGGTCTTTCTATCGCCCTCAATCCCACCCACGGACCCACAGCCGCAGGGAATGTAGATAAATGTGCCCACTCCAGACGGCAAAGTACTGTGCCCAGGGAATCCTGTGCAGGCTAGGTTGGCCTAAGACTCACCCTTGTCCAGGTTATCTAACCGGGAGCCTTGCAGCCAGGGTGAGGCGTCTGTGTGCCATTGACCACCCAGCTGGTGAATGTGGACAAGCTGAGCCCGTGGGGGAGGAGGGAGGAGAGTACCTCGTGTTCTGGAGGGGTCTGCTGCCACTTCCCCACACGAACCCCTCTTTTCTACCTCTCCTCCATAAATGACGGAGGCTAACCTCCTCACAACTTTCTTCCCACCCCAATGCATGCTGTCTCTCTGACCAGCCACGTTGTCTTCCAGGCACAAAGAGAACCCGCCATATAAGTGTTTCACCAACAAGTGTTTCACCAAACGCGGGAACGCGCTGAAGCGGCCCTTCCCTCTGAACAGCCGGCAGTGGATATTTGTGGGAAACAGACTGGATGACTTCAGGAAAGGTTGCCTGTCTCACCAGGGTCTCCTCAACCAGGGCCCTGAGGAGCGCTCTCTTCCCAAGATTCCTCACAGAGCTCTCCGACCTATCCCAAAAAGGGGGCAGCAGCCACCTCTGAAGGAAGCAACCCTGTTTCCCAAGCTCTCCCCAGCCCAGCGGACACGGAAGGCATTCCTGGCAGATGTGGAAGCCCAGCTGACACGGCACCCCTTGGCTCTCTACCCCAATCTGGAAGAAGATCTGCCCGCAGAGGTGATGTCTTGTGGGAGGGCTTTTCCTGCGCCCTTGCAAATGAGTCTCATAGGTGCTTGGGGAGTTTCGTTGAAGGGGTGACATATTTATGAGGGTCAGAGGACTGTTCAACAAGGAGCCTGATTCAGATGAAACAAAGAGGCCTTTATTTGGGGCTTTAGTCCTGTAGCCCAGGAGGCACAGACCCAAGAAGTCCTTGAATTGTTTCCAGTTACTCAGACTGAAGCGTCCAAGAAAAGGCGGGGTCATTCCGCTCCCTGTTCTATACAATTCAAGCCAGAAGTTCGCCAAGTTGCGATTGGTGCAGTATGTGTAGATGGGCGGGGCGAGGCGCTAGCGCGGGGGTGGTTGGCTGAGCCTCAGTCCTTGGTGACTGTGGTTGTCAGCTTGGTTTCAATTTCTCGCGGCAGGTGGATGTTTCTAGTCAAGCCTGAGCAGTATGGGCAGGCGTGTCCTACCTCAAGGGCTTCCTGAGGTTTTCTCTGGATGTCTCCATTTTGTTTTCTTTCTTTTTAAGTATTTCTGATTAGGATTAACAAATTAGGATTTGTTAATTTGTAATCCTAATTAGGATTTCAGCATGAGAGTTCTTATGGGTGCTGGAACAGTTTTTATTTCTCTGCACCCAGGAGATATGATGAGCAGTGATATACAAGCAATTTTTTTTGCTTCCAGTGAGTCTGCACAATCTACAGAAGTTATCAAACCAGAAAATATTTGACTTCTTTTCCCCAAGCGCCTATCAGTCTATTTTGCTTGTGACATTTTGGGGGAGAAAGCAGTGGGAGCAATTGTTCAGCCTTGATTCTGTCACTTTAGCATCAACTTATTAAGAGGTGGGTAGGAGGTGTAGGAAAACCTGAATGGTCAAGGGGAAAATTCACCCAGTTGTCAAGGCAAAGGCCAGGCAGCAGCTCTGTGGTGTCACCAATGTCCTTGGCCTCTTTTGACTTTCAGCTCCATAATCCTTCATTATATCTCTTATTCTTTACCTCCCAATAACTTTCACACTTCAGTCTTTTTCAAACAAGAAGCCAAAAGGGCTAAAGTTAAAGGGCGCATGTCAGCTGACTCTGCCTTTGAATTAGGCAAACATTAGCTTTTCCATTAATACCTAATTCATGTGACATGTCCTAGCTTCTAGAGGTCTGGAAAATTTAATTTTTTGGTTGGTCATTGTACCCTTGAAAAAAATCTAGAACAAAATTCTGCTAGATTTAAGGCAAAGGAGCAAGACACTAGCAGGACTTGTCATTCCACCCTGTAGTCTGCTCCCTACACAATGAGCATGGCAGTTGTTCAAAAGCCGGACTCCACTCATCCTACCTCCTCCTCGCTCAGCTCCATCTCTTCTCCGTGCCTCGGGTGGCACTCACTCTGCTGCTAACACCCGGGCCTCCCTGCTGCTCTCTGAACATTCAAGGGCATGTCCAGTCCAGCTGTTCCTCTCAGCTTTGCTGCAGACTTCCCCTTGGCCCACCCTTATGTTCCTTTCAGATCTCTGCCCAACAACTCCTGATTGGAAGGCCTATATAAAACAGCACATCCCCTCCACCCTCATTCTCAATCCCTCCTCAACATCTATTTTTCATCATCGATACCATTGGTCATGACGCCTGGGCTCCTCACTAGAATAAAAGCTCTACAAGGGCAGGAACTTGGTGTCTTTCTCCATATACCACCAATCTTTGGGTGTGGTAGATTCTTAGCAAATATTTGTGAATAGCAGATGCATGCATGATAAAAGCTCAGTTGCAGAGAAGTCTATAGAGGCCAGCTAGAATTTCTGACCCATTGTTTCCGCTTCTGGCTTTCCTTTCCTGTATCCTGTAGGCCAGAGCACCAGAGTCCATGACAAAGAGAAGGTGCTACACCTGCTGGGTGACACATGGGTTGTGGTCCCTATTTCCAACTGACTTTTCCAACGAGGTGTGTTGGCTTCTTTCTGAGGCAGATTTCTTCTTATGTTGCTTACTAGCAGCAATAATTCAATAATACCCAGAATAAGAACATCTCTTTTGTTAAACAAAGCCATACAGTCTAATCCCATGGGTCCAATTCAGGCTTAAACCTGCCACTGTGGTTCTGACTGACTTGGCATGCTCTGCCTCTAGAAGGAATAATGCTGGAGTCTGGCCAGTTCAGACCTTGAGAGCTGCTAGTGGAAGGAAGGGGGTTTGCCAAGGAAAAATCTAGATACTTCTATTCACAGGAAGAAGAATGCATGCTCAGCAGTCAACCACCACAGACATCTTAGAGGCAATGTGTGCACGGGGACATTTGGGAACCAGGGTGACTCCAGAGGCACTATTAGATACGAGGAAGTAGAATTTCAATGCCAAATTTGTCTACCTAATGTCCAGGCAATGGGCAGTTACTCATAGCACCTAGCACGGGGCTTGCACAGGCACTGAATTGACCTTCTGGAAAGGAAAAGCAATCAGGAAAGCCCGTTTGTTCTTCGCACCAAGAAGTCCTCCCTTCAGTCCTTTTCCTTCTCTCCAAGGATTTTTTTTTTCTTTTTCTGTTTGTAGCTCTTATTAATGGTGCTGGAAGTGCTGGATCCAGACAGGAAACTGAAGGACACATGGGCTTCCTGTCAGAGCACCAAGAAAATATCGAAGGAACCGACAAAACTTTTAAATAAATGCCCTGCCCAAGTCTCCCTGGGACCGTAAGCATTATTCTGGACACCTTTTTCATTCCTGTCATCTTATGAAACATTCTAGGAGGTCCCTTCTCAAAACCCTTATGTTTAAAATAATTTAGAGAAGGAGGAATGGCTAAGTTCCTGAAAAGGAGGGAAAGGGGCCTGTGTCCTCCTTTGAATAGTGTTTATTTCACCAATGCCTGTTACTTTTCCATGAGCAGACATGGATTTTAATACCCAACAATACAAGAGCTTTATGACAAAAGAAACTGCAGAAAACCTGATTAATTGACCCATAGTGGCTTTTTGAGTTTTCTATAGCAGAAACCCTGTGGATGCAACATGGTTGGAACCAGTAGTAGCTTGGATGAAGAAAAAAGGAAAGAAAAAAATCAAGAAAGAAGCTAAAGATGATCCCTAGTGCTTGTGCATTTACTTATTAGTCTTCTAACATAAGCCTCTTTGGAGCACGGGTCTTTTTTGCATAAACCACACAGTAATGTTACCTTCATTGAATGTTTCCAAAGCACAAAGCTTCATTTTCATTATAATACTCACTTTTGGGCGTCATATTATTATAGCCCCAATTCACATAATATTTAAGATGTAAATGCAAGGTAAGTATACTTGAAAAAAAATACGTTTGGGAAATGCATTTGACTTCCAGAAATCAATGATGTCACTGGTGAACCCTGAAGAGTGTGAGTGAAGTAGAGCGCAGCCCACCCACCCCCACCACCACCACTTACTGGGACCCAGGCCCACAGCAGGATGTCTGGAGGGAGTATGAGTTACCCACATGGAGGAACAGTGAGAACCCACTACATGAAATTATACACTTCTGGTTACTTCCTGTATATTTGGGGACACCTAGGCACACTCATCTCAGTCCACCCATCTTCCACTGGTAAACAAGAAAGTCCCTGGGGAGCACCAGCTTGCTGTTCCTCTCTTCTAGAGGGAGGGTTCTAATGGGCTGGTATCTGGGTAGGAATCTCAGTTTCAGTGAACAAGTCTTTTTGGACCAAAACCCATGTCCTCCATCATGGCAGCTGTCACTATAAAGCTGATATTTTGGCTTTCATCTTTGTTCTTTATATGATATTTTGTGTTGCTCAGAATCTGCGTAGGAGAGATCATGGATTCTGCATAGGTTTACATCATCCTGTGAGTGTCTTTGAATTCTTAACCCTCAGAAACCCATTGGCTAATTCTTTCTGTGGGGAAAAAAATTTAACAGGGCTAATTGAACATCTACCTTGGGTCATGGACAATGCTAGATTCTGAGGACATAGTGCAGGTTAAGACCCCTGTCCTCATGGTGATTATAAACTGGGATGGAAGGGAACATTGAGTATGGAGGGTGTGAATCTCAGTTCACAAAGCCAGATGAATATAAAATTTTACCTTTCTTTTCTTTGTATTTGGCCCTAAGTTCTCATCCTGCAAAACTACAAACATTCAATATTGGTCATTAATTGTACTACAACAAAGTAAAAAAGGTCATCAATAATTAGGATTGATCTTTAACTTCATTCTAGTTTTTGACTTTTTCTTCTCTCAATCTTGTACTCTCTACTACATGCTATACACCTTGGGAATCCAATCACCTCTTCACTTCCACAGCACCTAGCATAGTTACTTTTTTTTTGTTTTAACATAGTTACTTTTAAGGGGTTTAGGCCTGTATATGATACAGGATGTGCTTTTAGCATTAAGTGGTTTCCTCAGTCAATTGTGCAAAACTCTCTAGGCCAAGAAATTGTAAATGAATGGGTCATCTACTTAACCGGGAGAAAGTAAGAATATAGAGGAAAAGAACAAAATGTGTATCTTAAAAATTATTTTGTAAACAAAAAATATTTTGTTACAAAATAAATGGTGTTAAATTCTATCAGCATATATCTTAATTTCCTCCCACTGTTGATTACAACAGTGATCTGAAATTAAAGTGTTGGGCAGGACCATGTTTCCTGCAGAGACTCTAGAGAAGAATCTGTTTCCTGCCTTTTCATGGGCTGTGATTACTGGCAATCCTTAGCTTGTGGTCACATCAGTCTAGTTTTGAAGGCCAACATTTTCAAACTCTCTTAGCATTGACTTCATATCACCTTCTCTCTGTATATGTCCAGTCTTTCTTTGCTTCTCTCTGATGATGACCCTTGGGATGGTATTTGGGGCCTACCAAGGTAATCCAGGATAATTCCCCCATCTCAAGATCCTTCATTTAATCACAGCTATGAATAAAATATCACTTACAGGTTCGAAGGATTAGAACCTGATCTCTGTGGAGATTGTTATCAGACTACAAAAGCATGACATAGTATCTCCCATCTTTAAAACAATTTCCGTTGATTACAAAGTCTCTCATTTCTTTTAGAACAAAACTCCTTGGAAAGAGTCATACTTATTTGCTCTTCTATTCTCTCTTGAGCTCTGCTCTTTCTTGAACTCAATCTAGTTTGACGTGACTAGATTTACATTTTGAAATGACCGTTTTGGCTGCCTTGCAGACAAGCGCTTAAGGATTGGAGCTGGAAGATGGGGGTCTTAAGAAAAGATGCAGAGACACCAGTGAGGAATCTTTTACAACCATTCAGAGTAGGAGCTAGAGTTAAAATCTATCAGTCTTCTTAATAGCTGGATTTTAGGGCTAAAGGAGAGAGAAATCATGGATGTTGACTATGTGTCAAGATTCTTCTGAGGCTTTGACCAATTCTAAGCATGGTAACTTGGTCATTTTCGCCTTAATAAATAGAACTAAGAATTTTTAAAAATCAGCTTACAGGGATAAAATCCTACATAAATTTTAAATGCTATAACTAGTCGCAATGTCTTGTCTTTATAATATTAATAATAGGACTGTCATCTTTGAAAAATTATAATATGAATTTGTAGGAGGCTGTTAGAAATTCCTTATCTCATTTTTCCCAAGATACTGTGTGAAATCAACTGGGATTCATAGTGCCGCAAACTGTAATTCTTTGATGATCTCATTACCTGTAGGCCCAAGAAGATTTCCGTGCCACATCCAGGCCACTGGCTTTATAAAGAGAAAAAGACAAATGAAACAGACTTGCTCCATGAAAATGGTTCTCTGCTTCATAAAAATGTACGCCAAGGTGTTCATGACTTCTGCCACTGGGCCACTTCCATTGTAAGTTAGTAGTAATAGCCTCACTGTACTTTGTATAGTCAAGTTCAAAGTTGCTTTTATTAAAAATTATTGTTTGGATATAATCTAAATCAAGTAATCTTTATGACTTCCTCACCATTTATAATGGGTGTTTGGTGGCTGAGGTGGTGTGGTAATATGTATCTGTATTTCTGAGTCATATACAGTGTTACAAACCAGTGTTACCTTACTATAAAAAATTATAAAATCATTTAAAAATAAAGTGGTTCCTAGGGTGTGTGTGTGGGGGGAAGTCCTTAGAAATGAAATATTTAGAAAGTTTATAAGTCTGTAGCGATTTGGAATATTTATTATTTATATCTCAGATATCATTAATGTTGCCTACTCTTTTCAAGTGACTCAGTTACATTCAAATATAATTGAAAGGTAATATTGTGTAAGTTTAAGACAGTTTCATACATGTATATGTTGCCAAATGATTTCCACATAGGGTTACAACACACCATCACCTTATGTAATTAGCATATATGTGTATGTGGGGGGTGGTAGTGAGAACATCTCTGAGCTACTTTCTAAACAGCTTTCATGTTAACTAGAGTCCTCATGCAGTTCTGTGGGCTTCCTCTGGATACTCAGGTTTCCACCCAGGCCCACAGATTAAGTTCATTGGGGTGTCTGTCTTATCCCAGTCTGAGTGAGTATGGGTGTGTGTGTGAGCTAAACCTTTGATGAGAAAGCATGTGGTCCTTGACTAGGGCCAGACTTGTTCCTGTGCTGCAGGGGATAGTCTCCAGCCACCTAAGATCCTGACCTGAAGTAAACAGGACAGAAAATGAATTAATTAATGCATACAAATGATTGTTGACTATTGAACATATTGGGGTCTTTAACAAGTGGCCATGGCAACTTGACTCTTACTTATGTCAATTAGCCTATGGTCAAATTGGTTGTTTTGTTTAAATTCACTTTCTAAGAGCCTATTGATGCTATTAAACAAGGGACTTAATGCAACTTTAGGGACACCATCTCTGTGATGTAATGGAGAAATAAGCTTTTCAGAACAGACTGAATTTTCCTCAGTCCCCTAGTTTCTCTCATCAACTCACTATTTCCCGTCAGTCTTAAGCTCTCTGATGCACACTGATAAAACTCCTTGGGCCTCAAGGAGACTTCATGTCTCCAAGGAAGGCTGACTGAGCACTTACCTCTATTCCAGGCTCTCTCTTCTCCAGGCTTGGTGAAATACCTTTCTTACACTAAAAAAAAAGACCATTTGTCCTTGACTCATGCAATATGATACTCCTCCAGGGTAGTTCAAATATTGATGAAGAGTTTATCCTGAAACAGTTCAACGTTGACTATCAGAGCAAAACAAGCTGCAATGTGCTCCGCAGGATGAGACTGAACCAGGTTCCTCTGGAGCTAAAGAAGTGTGTAGGGCTAACTAAACTGCAGGAGCCAGACGTTTCCCATAAACTACACTGTGAGCGGAAATTACAGGTAATTGCCAAAGGAGAGAAGATAAGAAATCAAATCCAATGAAATGGTATTAAAAATCTTAAATGTTCTTTAATTCTGAAACTTCAGAATTAGTAGATTTCTTGAACTTTTAAAATGTTTAATATTTGGAAAATGAATGAATATTCAATACATATAACAAAGTTGGTTACACAGTATGTCATTCAGCTTTATTATTATCATTTGAATAGTTTTTATTCTATGTGTTTTATAGGTGAGACAATCTCTTTATGTGCTTTAAATGTAGAAATTATAATGTGAATATCTATTGTGAGAGTAAAATACTGCAATTAATGATTATAAATGCTGTTTATTTTATGTCCTAAGAATTCTGGATTTTTTTTGGAAATCTGCCTGAGTACATGTCATTATTGATCACATGCTTGCCTATCACTAACAAATCACTCAATTTTCCAGTGCCAATTTCCTATGAAGGCAACACAAAGGAGAATATAACACATGCTATGTTTGAAAGGGAGTCACTATGGGCCCTGAGGCACTTTTTTATACAACATACTATTGCAAATTATATACCCACATCAAGTGTGCCAATTCAACAACAGATGTAAGTGCTCATGTTGAAGTTATTGGGGAAGGAAGTTTCTTTTCCTGAAAGTGAAAATCAGTGTATTATCTCTACGTAGTTAACTCTTGACAGCTTGTGTTTGAACTTCAACGCTTCTCTTACCTGTGGATTTGATTTCAGTTCCTTCTCTTTCTCCTTCTCTGTCTCTGTCTTCCTTCCTCACCTACTCAACAGGAAGTTGATGAGGATGAAGACCTTTACATTACTTGACTTATGCTTTTCTTGGTAACATTTTGTTCTTCTCTAGCTTACTTTATTGTAAAAACAGCATATTGTAGTAGACATAGATATATGTGCTAATTGGCCATGCTCTGATTGTCAGCAAGCTATTAGTATTTAAGTTTTGGGGGAATCAAGGTTTTGACTAAGGGGGGAGGAAACCAGCTGATTACCTGTAATCCCTGTATTGCTTGAGGATCAACTGTATTCTCTGCCTTTTAAACAAATTGACGTATTTGTCCTTTAAAATTGAACACGTAAACTGACTTATTTTACATACGTGACATTTTCAATCCTTGAACCTATTGTGTAAGATTTATGTAAACAAAGCATCCCATCACTAATATCAGCACTTAAAACTTCCCTTTTCCTTTCATCATTCTAAATTGAAAAATCAAAATGATGCTGGATAGAGAAATCATGTCTATCTTCCCTGAGGCTCAAACCATTACTGTCTGTATCTGGATTACATCAAATTGCTCAATTTCCTGAATTTATAAATAATTGCACAAACACAGCTTCGTAAACCATGGGGTTATTGCTGAGACTGAAATTTTGACTGGCACACAGAAGATGATCACTGTGGAGAAGTTCAAAATAGATTTCCATATGGTCTCATTTCTCCACCACCTGAAGATTTTCTTTAACACTTCTTGTGTGGACCTGCTGATCAAAATTCTTTCACCTTTTTTATTTATTATTATTACTTTTACTGTCAGCAGAGAAATTTGTTTGAATCTTGAAGGATAGCAAGGATCCAACTACATAACATTCCAGATCAAGTTCTTCAGCATGGGAGTCATATAGATACTACTTTTCTTCCTTCCTTCTTTTTTCCTCTTTCTTCCCTCCCTCTTATTTCTTTCCTTTCATTTAATGAATTAGCTCTCATTTGAGTGTTATTTTGCCTCTCTGTCTCTTCTCTTCTGCCCAGGAATAATTTGGCAGTTTCTGGAGATCACGTTTTTTTTTTGCTTGTCACAAATTGAGTGATGTGGTGCTACTGCCAACTAGTGGGTGGAGAAGAGAAGTGCCACTAGCTATCCCACAGTAAATAGTACAGAGCCCTACCCTCCACTGCAGCCCAATACAAAATGATCCATCTCTGCCCTCCCTGGTGGCTCAGCGGGTTAAAGCACTGCACTGAGAGGCTTAAGCCACTTCTGCATGAGTTCGATTCCTGCCTGCCCCGGAGGTGACCACATGGCATGGCAGACCTCTCCTGGCCCGCCCGCTGCTCCCCTCAGCAGTGTACTTCGTTGATCTGCCTGTTCTGCTCCCCACTCTGTCTCTGGTGAAGCCTCTCACAGCCTCTGGCCTGTACCCCAGTTCTGTATGTACAAATAAATCTTTAAAAAAAAATCCATCTCAAAATGTCCAGATAAAGAAACCTACTGTCCAAAGTTAAGAAATTCAACTTCAATTCAAGAATTTTTTTACCAAGCACCTATTATGTTTTAGATATTTTTCGATATGCCAGGGGGCTAGAGCGCAGAACAGACATTGGAGCTTACATTTTAGAGACGGAAAGGCAGACAGGAATTTTTTTTTAAAGATTGATTTATTTATGCATACAAGAACTGGGGTATAGGCCAGAGGTGTAGGGGTGAAGAGAAGATTCACCAGAGACAGAGTGGGGAGCAGATCAGGCAGAAGGGCTGAAGTACACTGCTGAGGGGAGCAGCAGAAGAGACAGGAGAGGTCTGCTGCACCATGTGGGTCACCTCCCTGGCCAGGGATTGAACTCATGCTGCAGTGGTGCTGATAGCTTCCCAGTGCTGCACTTTAACCTGTTGCACAACCAGGGAGGGCCTGTAGACAAGGAATTCTATGAAGGATTTAAAATTTTTACATTAAGATGCTACTGAAATGATGAATGAAATAAGGAAGCCATGTGGGGTATCTTGGGGAAGAGCGTTAGATAGTGGGAATAGTGAGTGCAAAGGCCCTGAGGTAGAAATGTGAAAAGATCTGCTCCAAAAACAGCAAGGAAGCCAGTGTGTCCGAATGGAGGGATCTCAATGTTGAATCCAGCTCTGGTGGGGAGCCCTCCCCTCTGTTTCACACATTCTACCTCAAAGTGTAAATGTGAGATGAGAGAATGAAAGAATCTTTGTGTGCTCTACCGAGATGTTGGAAGTAAGAAAGAAATGTTATCTATTCTTCCTCCTCTTTTTCTCTCCCAATTAAGGAGGCAAGAGATGGCACTGGGTAGCATTTTTATCAAAAGTAATGTATCTTATTGTTGGACTCATAATAAGGCTAAGAGCTAATTTGAGTTGATGTGAGTATTATTTAAGGTCATTATCCTTCAGTGAAATGTATAATTTTTATGATTCTAGCAACTTTACATATATCCTCTCCTATGGGGCAAGTACTATTATCTCCATTTTACAGATGAAGACTTTATGGACTTTGTCCATGCACTTACAGCAATTAAGTGGGGGAGACTGAATTTGTACCAAGGTTTGGCTAAATCTAAATGCCACACTTGACTGCTTCATTATTTTCTTAATCATAAACTTTTCCTTTTAGCTCTGTAAATCAAAACATAGTAATCCTTCACAAAATACAAAAAGGAGAATCTATAAATTCAGAATAAATGCTATTGTTTTATAGGCTAAATCTTAGTTTTATTGAAATGAGAAGTCAAAAAAATTAATGAAATTGGGAATTATGTTATTCTTCTATAGAATCCCTGTCTACCAAAGTGGGTGAAAATGAGGTATGGAGCTTGGTATCTGAACCCCAAGTTGTGGAAAAAGCAGAGAGCAGATGAACCCTTGGTTGACCCGAAGATCTCACAGAAAGCTCAAGATGAGAATTTTAAAAAGGAGCTGCAGGAACAGGTATGTGCCAGTGTGGAGATTTTATCATCAGAAATAGATTATCATTTTGCATTCAAAATCTCTGCAATAATAGAAGTCTCCCCAAAAAGTCTAATAACTTGAGTACTGAATTCAGCAATGAGAAAACCAAGTCATTTTAAAAATATTTTTTAAATAAATAAAAGGATTTATTTATTTATGCATTAAGAACTGGGTGTATAGGCCAGAGGTGTAGGAGGTGAGAGGATTCACCAGAAACAGAGTAGGGAGCAGAACAGGCAGGTGTTCTGAAATACACTGCTGAGGGAAGGAGGGGCAAGACAGAAGAGGCCTGCTGAGCCATGTGGGTCACCTCCCTGGCCAGGGATCAAACTCGTGCTGTGATGGCTGCAGATAGCTTATAGTGCTATCTGCACACACTGAGCCACCAGGAAGGGCTGAAAACCAAGTCATTATAAGGGAAATATTTAATAAGCATGACTTGAAATCTCCTGGCTGTGATAGAAACAATGTCTCTAAATAGGAGACAATCATTCATTCTCCTACCATTCATGGATAAATTGGCTGTTCAAAGAAAGGTTGGTGTGACTTTAGTGCTGAGAATCAATAAAATGTCATGGGTTCTCTTTGAATAACTAGTGCACAGTTTTTTTTTTTTTAAATAAACAATGGATGAATGCTAAAAGCAATTCAAAATTATATTCAGGAAACTTCTTTATGCAGTTCAACAGAGTTGCAGAATCTGTCCCAGAGAAGGGGAACAAAGGTTAAATAGCCCTATTTGATACTGCAACTCTACTACCACCACAGGAATGTGCTCTAATTTTACTGCAAACAAACTGCCTGCTCATCTCTTATGTACAAACATCTAATGGAAAAAGATACTCATCACAGTCATGGAAATTTGGAATTGCTAACACAACACGGAGGCAGCACTCTAGTGACACTATTTGTGAACCTCATCCCTTTTTCAATAGAGCCAACATTTCTCCCAAATAATGTGGAAACACTTGAAAATATAAACATTTCATTACTTATTTATTCAGGAATCATTCATCCATTGCCTTCTTTAGATTGCAAAGCTGCAGAAATACAGCTATTTTCGTCTTTTCTACAATTAGGTATGAAATTTTTATTTTCAAATGTGAGGCATGACAAATTTATGAAACTCAAGATAATGTAAATAATGTTTAGCAGAATTCCTTGGTGTATTAGTTTTGGAGCTAAGTTATGTGAATTACTGTTCTAGTTCTACTTTGAAAGAAAATGACAAAACATTATCAATGAATTAAATATTTAAAAACAAAAATAGGAGTTTCTTGTAAGGTCTAGATGTTCTCTCTTTAGAAATGTATTCTGAAAGTAATTCTTAAAAACTTAACTTTACAAACTATATTTTCACAGTGAAAGCTAACAAGGATGTTTGCCAAATTGGCAATAGTTAGCTAATGAAAAAACAAGTTATATTTAAATTTCAAAATATGGTTGATAGGATTTACTGTAAAAGATTTTTAGGCAGTTTAGACACAGAAAAGATTCAAAGCAATGAGATTATTTATAATGATTTTATCATTCACTTTTTTTTTTTTAAAGATTTATTTATTTGTGCATACAGAACTGGGGTACAGGCCAGAGGCTCAGGGGTGGTGAGAGGCTTCACCAGAGACAGAGTGGGGAGCAGAACAGGCAGATTGATGAAGTACACTGCTGAGGGGAGCAGTGGGCGGGTGACGTGGCTGTCCTGTTGGGAACACATGAGCTTTGGAATTTTTTTTTTTAATTTTATGATAGTTCATTTTTACATATTTTTGTGCATTTTCCCATCTCAGTTGTAATCCCCATGGGCTTCCCATCACCAAATCACCCATGTGCTCAACACTGCAAGCTAGACCGCACCCGCTTCAGTGCGAGTTCAATCCCCTGACCCAGGCCTGGAGGTGACCCACATGGTGCGGCAGACCTCTCCTGTCTCGTCCGCTGCTTTCCTTAGCAGTGTACTTGTCAATCTGCCTGTTCTGCTCCCCACTCTGTCTCTGGTGAATTCTCTCACACCATCCCTGCACCTCTGGCCTGTACCCCAGTTCTGTATGCATAAATAAAATAAATCTTAAAACAAACAAAAAAAGGGGGTGTACCCAGGAAAAGTAGGAGGGAGAGATTATAGGAAAAGGAAGCAGAGCTTCCCAGCTCTCCCCTGGCACAGTAGTCTTCCAGCACCTCCTCTTTAAACATAGTTCTTTAGGGTCTTTATGGAGGTGCCATTACATAGGCATGATTAATCAAGTATTGGTTGTTGGTGATTGATTCAACCTCCATCTGATCTCCCCTCTTCAGTGTTTGGAGTCTCGGGCTGAATGTGCCAACCCTTTAAACATGTGTTTGACAACCAACATCCATTCTGTGACTATCTAGGGGGCCCCCAAATAACTCATTTACATAACCTGAAGTGTGGTTGAAAGAGGCCTACTGTGAGTAACAAAAGTCTCTCCTTTGGACTTTATGGCTTCTACCACTTAGGAAATTCCAAGGGTTTCAAGAGCACTAGGCCAGAAGCAGGCAGAAGACCAAAGACATACTTTACACTAGAGAGCAGTTTCACAAGTGCTCATCTCTAATTGGTCATTCTAATTGGTTAGCAATTAATCTAATTGCTTAGATTAATAATTGTCTAATTGCTAAACTCTGCTGCTTTTCCTTAATCCCAGGGTAAAAAAAAAAAAAGAGGACAGGAATAGGAGAGAAAGTTGGGATATCTTTAGAAAACATGTATAATCAGCCCATGAACATTCTTGCCACACATATTCCCAAATGAGAAGGAAGTGGTTTAAAGTGTTTTCTAGTGAGTTACATTAGGGCAACTATGACATCAGACTTTTGATGTCTCACTCTTTTTGTAATGTGGATCCTGTTTCAGGAGGAGTTTCTTGCAGACCTTCACGGAACAGCTGCTTTTAAGGAATTCATTCTAAGCAGGGGCTACAGGATGCCAAGTGTGAGTAAAGGGATGGATGAAGGTCTTTGCCAGCACCCTGGCAAAAGTAAAACACTTCTCTTATGGGCATATGCCAGGACTCAGATCCCTGGCGGAAGGGCATGCTTTTCCCTAGGTAGTGCCCACAGATGGGATTTTGCATTTTATTGTCTTTATTCTGCCTATTTGGTTTCTGCTGAGTCAGCAGTGTTGTATTTGTGCTGTCTCACCGGCCTTGGTTTTGGCCTCGGTGGCACCAAAGCGAAAGGGATCTGTGTGCAGGATGTGTGGCCTTCAAATTGCCTACTTTTAGTTCTCTAGTAAGATTTGGAATTCCCTTTACTTCCATATTTTAGGACAAAAAACTGGCTTGGGTCAGGTACTGGACTTGGGAGTTGGCATGTTAGAATGTGGGAAGTATCTATCTTTTAGTATCTTTTTTGATAACTAAAGAAATCCAAAGGGATTTCACTTTTTTTTTCTTTTTTTTAAAGATTTATTTATTTGTGCATACAGAACTGGGGTACAGGCCAGAGGCTCAGGGGCGACGAGAGGCTTCACCAGAGACAGAGTGGGGAGCAGAACAGGCAGATGGACAAAGTAC